TCAACGTGTTTAGACTAATCAGTGACACAACACGTGTTTAATCAACATGTGTGTAGACTAATCAGTGACACAACAGGTGTTTAATCAACGTGTTTAGACTAATCAGTGACACAACACGTGTTTAATCAACATGTGTGTAGACTAATCAGTGACACAACAGGTGTTTAATCAACGTCAGTGACACAACACGTGTTTACACAACAACACGTGTTTAATCACACACATGCGTGTTTAGACTAATCAGTGACACAGCACGTGTTTAATCAACGTGTTTAGACTAATCAGTGACACAACACGTGTTTAATCAACATGTGTGTAGACTAACCATTAACACAACACATGTTTAATCAACATGTGTGTAGACTAATCAGTGACACAACAGGTGTTTAATCAACGTGTTTAGACTAATCAGTGACACAACACGTGTTTAATCAACATGTGTGTAGACTAATCAGTGACACAACAGGTGTTTAATCAACGTGTTTAGACTAATCAGTGACACAACACGTGTTTAATCAACATGTGTGTAGACTAATCAGTGACACAACACGTGTTTGTTTAGACTAATCAGTGACACAACACATCAACGTGTGTAGACTAATCAGTGACACAACAGGTGTTTAATCAACATGTGTGTAGACTAATCAGTGACACAACACGTGTTTAATCAACATGTGTGTAGCCTTACCAGTGGCACAACAGGTGTTTAATCAACAAACACTTTAACACTGTTAAGTTATATTTAAACACAAACAATCAATAACTTATTTAAATTCTACGATGTCACATTGCAGTAGTTCATTAAAGTCAGTAACATATGATAAATTACACTGCCATGGTCCCATGTTTGTTCCTGATGGTTTACATAAGTTGTTTACATGTTAGTTCTGGCAGTAATCAATAAGTACTTTAATGTAGAAATTATCTTTTAGATTTTTCACAGATTTACAATCTATTCTCAGTCATTATCTGGAACATATGGAACCAAAGTATATTTGTGAAAAATTGACATATAATTAAAAAAACAACAAAGATATAAAGATGTGCACCTCTGTTTAAAGTGTTAAAATACCTCAGAGATCATAATATCCAGATAGTTCAGAAAGGATGATATATATCATAACACTTGGCTATTTACACACTACACAAATATCAATATTCAGTTAGATATTCCTCAATAAAAAAATACATTGTGTAAACTGATAAATAGATAGGAAGAAATATCTCAGATCATATACAAAGACATGAAAACTACATCAAACAGTTAGACTATCATTTTCCTCATACATTCTGAAAAGATAAACACGTTTTGAATTCAAAATAAACGTAGAAGCTATTTCACATGTCATATATTACACAGTATAAACATTTAAAATAATGATGAAATAATTTGTTACAAAATATAAATTTCTTACCAAAAACATTAAATAAAATGTATATCATAAATCTATTTTTCTATTTTAGTAACACACATACAAGGAATGTTTACTTCACTGTAGAACACACATACAAGGAATGTTTAGATACTGTAGACACATACAAGGAATGTTTAGAGATCACTGTATGGACACACATACAAGGAGTTTACACTGTACACACATTACTGGGGTCAATGTTTAAGTTTTCTGTAAAACACACATCACAAAAGAATGTTTAAGGATAAAACACACAATATCTAAAGATTGTTTACTTCACTGTAAAACACACATACAAGGAATGTTTACTTCACTGTAAAACACACATACAAGGAATGTTTACTTCACTGTAAAACACACATACAAGGAATGTTTACTTCACTGTAAAACACACATACAAGGAATGTTTACTTCACTGTAAAACACACATACAAGGAATGTTTACTTCACTGTAAAACACACATACAAGGAATGTTTACTTCACTGTATAACACACATACAAGGAATGTTTAAGTCACTGTATAACACACATACAAGGAATGTTTAAGTCACTGTAAAACACACATACAAGGAATGTTTACTTCACTGTATAACACACATACAAGGAATGTTTACTTCACTGTATAACACACATACAAGGAATGTTTACTTCACTGTATAACACACATACAAGGAATGTTTACTTCACTGTATAACACACATACAAGGAATGTTTATGTCACTGTATAACACACATACAAGGAATGTTCACTGTACACACATACAAGGGATGTTTACTTCACTGTATGACACACATACAAGGAATGTTTACTTCACTGTATAACACACATACAAGGAATGTTTACTTCACTGTAAAACACACATACAAGGAATGTTTACTTCACTGTATAACACACATACAAGGAATGTTTACTTCACTATAAAACACACATACAAGGAATGTTTACTTCACTGTATAACACACATACAAGGAATGTTTACTTCACTGTATAACACACATACAAGGAATGTTTACTACACTGTATAACACACATACAAGTATAACACACATACAAGGAATGTTTACTTCACTATAAAATACACATACAAGGAATGTTTACTTCACTGTATAACACACAAACAAGGAATGTTTACTTCACTATAAAATACACATACAAGGAATGTTTACTTCACTGTATAACACACATACAAGGGATGTTTACTTCACTGTATAACACACATACAAGGGATGTTTACTTCACTGTAAAACACACATACAAGGAATGTTTAAGTCACCGTATAACACACATACAAGGAATGTTTAAGTCACTGTATAACACACACATTTACTTCACACACATACAAGGAATGTTTACTTATAACACACATACACTGTATAACACACATACAAGGAATGTTTACTTCACTGTATAACACACATACAAGGAATGTTTACTTCACTGTATAACACACATACAAGGAATGTTTAAGTCACTGTATAACACACATACAAGGAATGTTTACTTCACTGTAAAACACACATACAAGGAATGTTTACTTCACTGTAAAACACACATACAAGGAATGTTTACTTCACTGTATAACACACATACAAGGAATATAACACACATACAAGGAATGTTTACTTCACTGTAATGTTTACTTCACTGTATAACACACATACAAGGAATGTTTAATTCACTGTATAACACACATACAAGGAATGTTTACTTCACTGTATAACACACATACAAGGAATGTTTACTTCACTGTAAAACACACATACAAGGAATGTTTACTTCACTGTATAACACACATACAAGGAATGTTTACTTCACTGTAAAACACACATACAAGGAATGTTTACTTCACTGTATAACACACATACAAGGAATGTTTACTTCACTGTATAACACACATACAAGGAATGTTTACTTCAACACACATACAAGGAATGTTTACTTCACTGTATAACACACATACAAGGAATGTTTACTTCACTGTATAACACACATACAAGGAATGTTTATAAACACACATACAAGGAATGTTTACTACTGTAGGAATGTTTACTTCACACATGTAAAACACACATACAAGGAATGTTTACTTCACTGTATAACACACATACAAGGAATGTTTACTTCACTGTATAACACACATACAAGGAATGTTTACTTCACTGTATAACACACATACAAGGAATGTTTAAGTCACTGTATAACACACATACAAGTGTTTACTTCACTGTACACACATACAAGGAATGTTTACTTCACTGTACACACATACAAGGAATGTTTACTTCACTGTATAACACACATACAAGGAATGTTTACTTCACACACATACAAGGAATGTTTACTTCACTGTATAACACACATACAAGGAATGTTTACTTCACTGTATAACACACATACACACTAACACATACAAGGAATGTTTACACTGTATAACACACATACAAGGAATGTTTACTTCACTGTATAACACACATACAAGGAATGTTTACTTCACTGTATAACACACATACAAGGAATGTTTACTTCACTGTATAACACACATACAAGGAATGTTTACTTCACTGTAAAACACACATACAAGGAATGTTTACTTCAAACACACATACAAGGAATGTTTACTTCACTGTATAACACACATACAAGGAATGTTTACTTCACTGTATAACACACATACAAGGAATGTTTACTTCACTGTATAACACACATACAAGGAATGTTTACTTCACTGTATAACACACATACAAGGAATGTTTACTTCACTGTATAACACACATACAAGGAATGTTTACTTCACTGTATAACACACATACAAGGAATGTTTACTTCACTGTATAACACACATACAAGGAATGTTTACTTCACTGTATAACACACATACAAGGAATGTTTACTTCACTGTATAACACACATACAAGGAATGTTTAAGTCACTGTATAACACACATACAAGGAATGTTTACTTCACTGTATAACACACATACAAGGAATGTTTACTTCACTGTATAACACACATACAAGGAATGTTTACTTCACTATAAAACACACATACAAGGAATGTTTACTTCACTGTATAACACACATACAAGGAATGTTTACTTCACTGTATAACACACATACAAGGAATGTTTACTTCACTGTAAAACACACATACAAGGAATGTTTACTTCACTGTAAAACACACATACAAGGAATGTTTACTTCACTGTAAAACACACATACAAGGAATGTTTACTTCACTGTAAAACACACATACAAGGAATGTTTACTTCACTATAAAATACACATACAAGGAATGTTTACTTCACTGTAAAACACACATACAAGGAATGTTTACTTCACTGTAAAACACACATACAAGGAATGTTTACTTCACTGTAAAACACACATACAAGGAATGTTTACTTCACTGTAAAACACACATACAAGGAATGTTTACTTCACTATAAAATACACATACCACAAATGTTTTTTCCTTCACCATCAGAATTTGTTTTGTTAAAGCTGATCAATTTGAGTTAATCACACATTAGGAAGTATTTCTTAAATCTTATTTTTGAATTACTGTTATATCTATATATACTTACGTTTGTGGTATTGTTCTGTTGGGGTCGATTAAACGAAGACTTTTCATGCATTTCATACGTTTCAGATTTTTCTGAAATGAATATAGAAAATTTCCATTAATATGTCTCTATTATTGTTCACCTTTTCTCAATTCCCTGATCAGTTGTGAAAATTCTTCACCCAAGGATGCTTCTACACACCAATTAAAGTCCTGTCATTACAATATAGATAGACTATGAAAGTTCTTAATTCCCCGAGTCTTTGACTTCACCCCTCCGACTCCAACCCTCAGACTGACAGAGGAAAGATTTCTGCATAAATTTCAGAGCAATGCACAACACTTGATTCCACAGATATTTTTTAAATTCTGTCAAGATATTTCACAGAGTTCTAAATTTAAACCTCCAACCACCTCTTAAAATGAAGAATGTATTTATTTGAACTTTGACCTTGAGATAATTAATCAAGACAAATTATACTACCACAAAATGATAGTATTTGCGAAGTGGTGTGTCTTCCCCTCTGATTATAAATACCGGGTAAATTCCCCATCAAGAAAATATACTGAAAACACGGTGAAATTTCTGCAAAGTAGAAAATTTTTCCCCAAATCAGAACTAATTAAGATATTTTACTTATTGTCATTATTTGTCATGAAAAGAAATACTTAAATCTCAACACTGTAGATTTATTCTGATGAAAAGAGCTGTCTGAAATTTTCCTAAAAACAGGCAAAAAGTCACCTTTCTCCACAACAGGTAACACCTCAAATTCTAGTTTAACCTATAGAGATGAATGTCACCTTTATCTTATTGCAGTACACAAATAGACCACTGTTGGTGACACATTTATGTTTCAAATGTTATAAAGAGTTCTTTCATCGTTCAAAAGTCATGATGGGGACAAATGAACTTGAATTTCACATATATTTTACCTTTGACCTTAGGAAAAAAGGTCAGTGACCTTACTCCATTACCATATAAAATTGTATCAAAATAACAATATTGAAAACAAAAATGATTTAAACAATCTGTTTCTCTTCACTTAGTGGTAATACATAGTGGTCTGTGGGCCATGAGGATCACATCAACAGTTAGAACAAATCTATTGTGTGATACATACAATGTACATTATACAGAAATGTATTTCAAAAGAACAAACCTGTGTCAACCTCAAGCAGGAAGGTATATTTTAAACACTAAAAGATAACACACCAAACGCTTGGGTTGTGAATTTATGTTTCCAGTTTCATCAACATTTCATTAAGTTCAAAATGTTATGACAAGTACATTACCAGAAATTAAGCCCTTAATTTACCATTGCATTAGACATAACGGTCTCTGTGATCTAATTTCAATGTACTTTGGGTGATACAATCTTATTTCAGATTTCTTCCTTACGGACTTAAGGTTTGGACCCAAACAAGAATGATTTAGAGGTTTGACTTCACAACAAACAAGAATGATTTAGAGGTCTGACTTCACAACAAACAAGAATGAATTAGAGGTTTGACTTCACAACAACAAGAATGATTTAGAGGTTTGACTTCACAACAAACAAGAATGAATTAGAGGTCTGACTTCACAACAAACAAGAATGATTTAGAGGTTTGACTTCACAACAACAAGAATGATTTAGAGGTTTGACTTCACAACAAACAAGAATGAATTAGAGGTCTGACTTCACAACAAACAAGAATGAATTAGAGGTCTGACTTCACAACAAACAAGAATGATTTGAGGTTTGACTTCACAACAAACAAGAATGATTTAGAGGTCTGACTTCACAACAAACAAGAATGAGTTAGAGGTTTGACTTCACAACAAACAAGAATGATTTGAGGTTTGACTTCACAACAAACAAGAATGATTTAGAGGTCTGACTTCACAACAAACAAGAATGAATTAGAGGTTTGACTTCACAACAAACAAGAATGAATTAGAGGTTTGACTTCACAACAAACAAGAATGAATTAGAGGTCTGACTTCACAACAAACAAGAATGAATTAGAGGTCTGACTTCACAACAAACAAGAATGAATTAGAGGTCTGACTTCACAACAAACAAGAATGAATTAGAGGTCTGACTTCACAACAAACAAGAATGTATTAGAGGTCTGACTTCACAACAAACAAGAATGATTTAGAGGTCTGACTTCACAACAAACAAGAATGAATTAGAGGTCTGACTTCACAACAAACAAGAATGATTTAGAGGTCTGACTTCACAACAAACAAGAATGAATTAGAGGTCTGACTTCACAACAAACAAGAATGAATTAGAGGTCTGACTTCACAACAAACAAGAATGAATTAGAGGTGAATTGACTTCACAACAAACAAGAATGAATTAGAGGTCTGACTTCACAACAAACAAGAATGAATTAGAGGTCTGACTTCACAACAAACAAGAATGAATTAGAGGTCTGACTTCACAACAAACAAGAATGAATTAGAGGTCTGACTTCACAACAAACAAGAATGAATTAGAGGTCTGACTTCACAACAAACAAGAATGAATTAGAGGTCTGACTTCACAACAAACAAGAATGATTTAGAGGTCTGACTTCACAACAAACAAGAATGATTTAGAGGTCTGACTTCACAACAAACAAGAATGATTTAGAGGTCTGACTTCACAACAAACAAGAATGAATTAGAGGTCTGACTTCACAACAAACAAGAATGAATTAGAGGTCTGACTTCACAACAAACAAGAATGAATTAGAGGTTTAACTTCACAACAAACAAGAATGAATTAGAGGTTTGACTTCACAACAAACAAGAATGAATTAGAGGTCTGACTTCACAACAACAAAACCAATCTTTACATTGCATGCCAAAGGAATTTTAGGAAATGCAGATCAAATGTTAACATTTCATTATAATAATTTCAGTATATAATATAATTCCATTACATGATAAAAATTTGAAAGTATGATTTATCCTTCTGTATCAAACACCAAGAACCTCTGTATAAGCACCATATCTGTAATCACAACATGCAGTTTCAACTACACAACATGCCAGAGTTTTATTTTTCATTTAACAAATCCTCGTGCTTCACAATCAAAAACATGACAAAAACAGGGATCTTAATCTTACTATAAAGCACAGGTATGTATGGGACTCAATGTACAGACATAAAGGGTACTTCAGGGTCTCTGCGAGTTTTTGACGCTGGTGAGCATCTTTCGATGCTGTTCAATGGTTACGCTAATGTTGAGAGAACAATTTCTTGACAAAACCAAACAAACAAAATAATCTGTCTTTTACTACTAAATGAATTCAGTTTACTCTACCACAAGCTGAACTGCCCCTAAATTAGAAAAATTACTTTAAGTCTTGTAACCGCCCCTAACTAAGTTTTGTAACTGCCCCTAACTAAGTTTTGTAACTGCCTCAAACTAAGTTTTGTAACTGCCCCTAACTAAGTTTTGTAACCGCCCCTAACTAAGTTTTGTAACTGCCCCTAACTAAGTTTTGTAACCGCCCCTAAATAAGTTTTGTAACTGCCCCTAACTAAGTTTTGTAACTGCCTCAAACTAAGTTTTGTAACTGCCCCTAACTAAGTTTTGTAACCACCCCTAACTAAGTTTTGTAACCGCCCCTAACTAAGTTTTGTAACCGCCCCTAACTATGTTTTGTAACTGCCCCTAACTAAGTTTTGTAACTACCCCTAACTAAGTTTGTAACTGTCTTTAACTAAGTTTTGTAACTGCCCCTAACTAAGTTTTGTGACTGTCTCAAACTAAGTTTTGTAACTGCCCCTAACTAAGTTTTGTAACCGCCCCTAACTAAGTTTTGTGACTGCCTCAAACTAAGTTTTGTAACCGCCCCTAACTAAGTTTTGTAACCGCCCCTAACTAAGTTTTGTAACTGCCCCTAACTAAGTTTTGCAACTGCCCCTAACTAGGTTTTGTAACTGCCTTTAACTAAGTCTTGTTACCGCCCCTAACTAAGTTTTGTAACCGCCCCTAACTAAGTTTTGCAACTGCCCCTAACTAAGTTTTGCAACTGCCCCTAACTAAGTTTTGCAACTGCCCCTAACTAAGTTTTGCAACTGCCCCTAACTAAGTTTTGTAACTGCCCCTAACTAAGTTTTGCAACTGCCCCTAACTAAGTTTTGTAACTGCCCCTTACTAAGTTTTGTAACTGCCCCTAACTGTGTTTTGTAACTCCTAACTAAGTTTTGTAACTGCCCCTAACTACTAAGTTTTGCAACTGCCCCTAACTAAGTTTTGTAACTGCCCCTTACTAAGTTTTGTAACTGCCCCTAACTGTGTTTTGTAACTGCCCCTAACTAAGTTTTGTAACTGCCCCTAACTGTGTTTTGTAACTGCCCCTAACTAAGTTTTGTAACTGCCCCTAACTAAGTTTTGTAACTGCCCCTAACTAAGTTTTGTAACTGCCCCTAACTAAGTTTTGCAACTGCCCCTAACTAAGTTTTGTAACTGCCCCTAACTAAGTTTTGTAACTGCCCCTAACTAAGTTTTGTAACTGCCCCTAACTAAGTTTTGTAACTGCCCCTAACTAAGTTTTGTAACTGCCCCTAACTAAGTTTTGTAACTGCCCCTAACTGTGTTTTGTAACTGCCCCTAACTAAGTTTTGTAACTGCCCCTAACTAAGTTTTGTAACCGCCCCTACCTAAGTTTTGTAACTGCCCCTAACTAAGTTTTGTAACTGCCCCTAACTAAGTTTTGTAACCGCCCCTAACTAAGTTTTGTAACCGCCCCTAACTAAGTTTTGTAACCGCCCCTAACTAAGTTTTGTAACCGCCCCTAACTAAGTTTTGTAACCGCCCCTAACTAAGTTTTGCAACTGCCCCTAACTAAGTTTTGCAACTGCCCCTAACTAAGTTTTGTAACTGCCCCTTACTAAGTTTTGTAACTGCCCCTAACTGTGTTTTGTAACTGCCCCTAACTAAGTTTTGTAACTGCCCCTAACTAAGTTTTGTAACTGCCCCTAACTAAGTTTTGCAACTGCCCCTAACTAAGTGTCTTATCCTCAACAATGTAACTTTTACTTCTGACAGTCTATTGGAAATGTCTTATACCTCAACAATGTAACTTTTACTTCTGACAACCACTT